GGTGGGCCATGGCCCACTGGTGGGCCTTGAGAAAATTTTGACGGGCCGCAGAGAAATCTCACCCCCAGAGCACCTTCCCAAAGCAATTAATCCAGGCTTCACAGAAACACAAGGCTGTGCTGCCCACATGGCCTGCAGGAACGCTCCCGCCCACTCACTCCTTACCCGGCAAACTTGCCTGTTAAAATTGCTATTTTTTCTTTTTCCGACCATCATCTGTTTTGCTGTGGCGGGAGATTTAGATTAGCTAGGAAGCAGAAAATGGTTGGATTTCTTGCTTTCTAGCTAGTCTTTAGATTTTCGGCTCTGCTTCCCTTAGGACTGAAGGTTTGCTTGCAAGCAAATTCAGTGCAGACTCACGGCAAGCAAATTTGAGAGACTGAGCCAGCCGATGGCAGATAGATAGATCACTGAATGATTCTGTGAGCAACTCAATCTGCCTGCTTTGCCTGATTTTGGGTAAAAATTGCTTTTTTTATTTAAAAAATTCAATATTTACATACATGGTGTGTTGTGAGTTAATTTTATGAGTTTGCTTGCAAGCAAATTTTATGTGACAGACTGAGCTAGCCAATGGCAGATAGACAGATTTCTGAATGAATCTGTGATTCTGTGAGCAACTCAATCTGCCTGCCTGCTCTGCCTGATTTTGGGTAAAAGTTGCTTTTTTTATAAAAAAAAATTCAACATTTAAATACATATTTATATTTACATACAAGTCATGCCCAGCCAGTCACATGACCATCAAGCCACACCCACAAATTAGGCCACACCCACAGAACCGGTTAGTGGTCCCTGGGATCTAAAATTATGAGTTTGGTGGTCCCTGAGGTCCAAAAGGTTGGCGACCCCCTGTTCTATAACATCTATACATAAGGCTTGAGGTACAAAATAAAAGACTGCCACAAAAGTACTATTTATATATTTCCTAAGCCTAATTGTATCCCATATTCTAATAGGATTTTGCACAATTTTTGGTATATTTTAATTTTTTTTAAAAAAGGACTTGATTTGTATGGTATAAAAGAATACGGAAAGAAATAACCAATTTAGTACTGAATCTCCAAATCATACTGCCGGCCTAACATTTTCCTCTAAAAAAGGAGGAGAAAGAACTGGATGTCCGAATGCAAAACTAAACAAATACCTTCATTTCCCAACTTACTGAAAACAGAGTTTTATTCCTCCAAATTATTTTAGAATCTTTCTAATAGACTCTGAAAACATCTGTTCTCCCCGGTGACTCCAAATGTCTCTTCCAATCTGGCAGAAAAAATGCAAGTGGAAGACTAGTTACAGGGGCCAGGTGGACACAGGTAAGAAATGGAAGAAATCCAAAGGCAAAACAAGCTGGCAATAAGAAACATTTTTCTCATCAAAAATATGCTTCCAAATTAATCTGATAGAAAAATACATAAAGTTGTACCTACAAAACCTACACTGTAATTGCAGTGCTATGAATACAACAGTAAGATGCAAAACTTCTGCAATTAGATAAAAAATATTTCAAAGGCCAAAAGTTATCTAATTTTTTTAAAAGATAAGTTTTATTTATTATGGACATTATTAGCTCTATCCCAGAATAATGACTAGAAACAAATGACTAGAAACAAATGGATACCGAAGTACAAGAACTGTATAAATATACAAAGAGATCCTTCTACAACCTAGTTCTATTCAATTATGAATAGATTAGCCATCTATTATGGTGGCCACAGAATACAAGAAGACATTTTTTCTTTTCTTTTGTTTTTATCAAGAAGGTGATAAAAATGCTTTCTAACTTAAAATATAATACTTGTGACATTAGTTTCACAGTATAACAATATGTATCGTACAGGTATCAAAGTGTGTGACCTAAAAGCATTTTGTGTTTCCCAGATAATCATCAAAACAGGTTGTATTCAGACCTCATGCAAAGAAAGAAAATATGATTCTATATGTAGTGAAAAATATGGAATGGGAATGGGGCAAAAGTCAATATAGGTCTTAAAAGGCTGTTTATGAAAGCAGACACATATTTAGAATTATGAGCACTTATACAATATTACACAGGTCTAAAAACAACAGGTGAAGAGCAATTGAAATGAGCATTTAATGTAGTCTTATCTTCTAAGTTTAGGGGTTGGATTCTTACACACTGCTGAACATAGCACTTAGTTTTCTAGACTTGATGGATTCCACAGCATCTACCAATTACAAATTCCACAAGAGTTTTCTGCTGCCATATTAATGCAGAACCATTAATATGCCCAGGAAGGCAGAACAGAAACTATCTATAATTTTTATTTACAATGTGATGAAATTGGATCTCCCTATCCCAACTTGTTGAAAGAATGTAGTTTATTTATGGTACAAATAAAGCACTTTTAATAAGAAATAGAATTCTAAAGAGAAAAGTTAAGCAAGAACTACTGGAACTGGTCAGCTTAGTAAAGACCAAGAATCATTTGCTTTGCAGAGTAACTTTCACAATATTGTGTTTTCATTGATCAAAGTTTAGAAGAACTATACAAAGATCTTCCTCAAATGAGTATATCAACAGTCTACATAATAGCTAACTTGGTAAAGAAGCCGATTGAATTTATAATGGAAAGTCAAAAACAGTCACTCCGATTCATGGAAAAAGAACTTGCAGAGTTACATGAAATGTTATTACAGGATGGCTTTGCAATAACTTTGAATTTCTGAGATTCATTTACAGTATGCCACAATACTCTGAGTGAACAGTCTTGTTTTAAATGAGATACATCTGCTATATACAAATGTACTTCGAGATTTTAACTGTACAATAAAAAATAAGTAGCACAGATATTAGCTAGAATTCATAGAATAGAATAGAATAGAATAGAATAGAATAGAATAGAATAGAATAGAATAGAATAGAATAGAATAGAAT